GTTCACAGCTTGAGGGTAATTTAACCATACCTCTATTCTCATCCATATGTAACTTAAGTTGATATTTAGATGAGACTTTGAACTTTAGAGTTGATGCTGGAATGAGTTAAGGCCTTTGGGGCTCTTAAGAGGTAACAACTGTATTTTGCATGTCATAAGAACAAAAATTTGGGGGACCAGAATGCTACTGACTGAATTGTGTTTTCCCAAAATTCATATGTTGAAACCTCAACCCCCAGTGGGACTGTATTTGAAGATGGACCTATAAGAAGATAATTAAGGTTAAATGACATCATAAGGATGGGTTCTCATCCAGTAAGATTAGTGTCCTTTTAACAATAGACATCAGAGTATCAGAGTGGGCACACACATACTCTTCCCTCTCTCTGCCTGTAAGAGGATGTAGTGAGAAGGTGGCCGCCTACAAGCCAGGAAGAGAGCCCTCTAGAAACCTCCTTGGCTAGCACCTTCAACTCGAACTTCTCAGCCTCCAGAACTGAGAAATATATGTCTGCTGCTTAAGCTTTCTAGTCTGTGGTATTTTGATATAGCATCTGGAACTAACATACTCCTGGTAATCACCTTCCTACCACCCTGTCTAGGGTTGCAACCCTTGCCATACTTCCTAGAAATTCTGTGCAGTCGTGAAAAAAGAAAATGGCATGTTTATGCGAAAAATCACAGCTAACCTAGAGATGTCATGGTTCATTTTTCCATTTTCCCACTATGCTGCTTGGCCTTTTCTAACATATGCAAGGGTTAAACTCTGAAACACATCAAAAATACTTTCTTTCGCTTGGTTATAAGTTACTAGATATTACTTAAGTAATAAATGATATAAGTATATTCACTCCTTATTTGATTTAGGATTGTCCAGTTTAGTGTTTAGACATAAGGTTCTTTAGAAGCACAAGTTTATAGTAAATTTATTATGAGCTCATTATAAGTTCTAACACTTATCTAGGAGTTATGTAGGTGATTTATAACACTGTTTTCACTGACTTAGGATAAAGATTATCTTTAAAGTTTTTACTTAATTCAATAGTTAAAACTCTAAGTTAATATTTATAAAGTGGGTTTCCACTGAACTCATAATATACTAATCAGACACTTTTATGACAACTTAGCTAAAGACAGAAAACAACCTTGGGGGCCTGGGAAACATTACTAAAAACTTCTTTTGAGTTTTCTTTAGAAACAAGCACTACAGGATAAGAGAAAAGTAACGAAGACACCTGGACAACAAAGGCGATTACAGAACTCTGAAGGACATAAAACCCCAGAAGGAAGACTACTGCTAAACTTTCTGGAGACAGTTCAAGGACTGTAATTCGGGACTTTGGACTAAAACTATCACCTTTGGTCTTATGAATAAGACTCACTGTCTAAATGTTTACAGGGTTCTTGGTTTGTTTATTGCTAAGACCACTAGATGGTGGTAACTTGTAGAACATATGTACGTGAAGGAATTTTCTTTGTCTTGCCCCTTTACGAATGGTATAAAAGCTCTATGTTAACTAATATTAAATTGTCATCTATTCAAAAAACAAATGTCTGGTATATGATTTTCGTCTTTCACCTATTCGTCTCTCCTTCAGGAGATCTCACAACCTTGTGGGGCGAGACCCCACACTCAATGCATTATTTTTGCCACCCACTACAACTTACAACAAATGTACTTTAAATTTATATAGTTTATTTTCTGTCTCTCATTGTTAGAACATAAGCTCCATGAAGAAAGGGTGTTTTTGTTGTGTCTACAGCACCTAGAATAGTTTCTTATCTTCTTGTCCTTGGAAGAGTAATCTTTAAAGAGTTAAAGAATATTTAACTCAGCCTAGGAAATCAGGAAAGACAAATTAACAACAGCATAAAATAAAGAATCCAAACAAAAAGTTACAATGTACACATCCATTTAAATTAGAGCACAAACTATGTAAATCTGGTGAAAGAGGACTGTGTAAATGTAGTCTTGCAGCAAAAAGCACCCTCGTCAGCAGTCCATAAATTAAAGAACAATACCTCACAGTCCTAGGTTGAAATTTTGTAAGAACAAATTACCAGGAATAATGGATACATCCAAGAATTTGCAGCACATAATGCTCTGCGGTCAGTCCAAGAAAGCAATATGTATTATTTGCTTTGCAGGAGAGTAAATACTCTGAAATAATGGACACAAATCCATTTAAGCATAATAGTTATCATATTTCAATTTATTCCCATGTAAATTGGTAGTTACATGCTGAGTTAGTACAAAGAATTATAAAAAAAGATAATTAAATGCATTGAAAAATATAAAAATAAGTGCAGCATATTAGACTACATGATTTTTAACTAAAAATCTTTGGATTGCGAAAGTACCACTTAACTCCCTACTTGAAATCTGGCAACAAACTTACTGCCAAATAACCTGTCCCATATTGAATTAGATCATCATCCCACAGAATACAGACTATGCATTTCCAAGGTGTATGTATATTTAACAACATTACTCATATATTTTGGTAACCACTAAATGTCAAATATTATCCATACAGGGTATTAACACATTAATGTTTTCATTAAAAAAGAAAGATCTCTTTTCTCATTACATTATACATTTATAGAATAGAGATCTGTCAAATAAATTACGGCAAAGTAGTTCAAGTTAAACCTTATAACACTTGAATCATATAATCAGGGCAAATAACCTTTAAAATGAAAGACAAATGGTGAAATTTAAGGGCATTTAATTTGCATAAATATAATGTCAACGGTCTTCTCCTGGTTACATATTTTATGCTTAATTTATATATGTCATCTATTAGGTCCTTAGAACTCTTGTAGGTCAGTTTTAATTTTTTTCAGTTTTATTTTACTATAATAAGTATTATGGAAGCAGTTTATCATATATAAAAATAAGATAATCTCATTAAAAAATTCACTGTGTCTCTAGAAACATTTCAGTATCAGGACAATATTATAGTTTTTGTGTTGTCAATGCCTGCTTCAAAATAAATATTTATGTTTTAGAATCCTGTGTGTCTAAACTCACATTCAGCTCTTGGACTCTCAGAACTCAATTCCAAGGTTTTTCTCCAAGTTAACAGTCATTGTGACCTTGGTATGTGGGAGAAGCTTTAGGACAAAGGGCTTTATAAGGTGCATGGTTTGGCCTTCCTTTACTTTGAATGTAACATTAACATTTGACACCCAAGTTATTGGCTTTAAAAATCTATCCATTAAACTTTTACTGTAAACACTTAAATGCATTCAAATACAATGCTCAAACAATACTGTGTCAGCTTTATCAAGAAAATATAACAAACCATCCATCAATTAACTATGATTTTAATGTCATCTATGGTCCATAATCTCTAACAAGTTCGAAAATGCCTGCAGTGCATGAATTTAATTACAGGAATTGCATAGTAAAATATTAATTTATATGTAACAAAATATATTTTCTTTTGTTTTACTTTCCTTGACTCATGTTTATCTGGCAGTGACCAATGGATTAGAGATGGTGAATATCATCACCATCTCCCACTGGAATAATTTAATTGGACAAAGCAGAACAAAATTTCTTTCTACCTTTTCCTGGAACAGTGTTTAATGGAAATGTGAATTGGTCTCATTCATTTCAATCCAAATTAGTGATAAAGAGATAGAGGCTACCTTTGGGACGGAGACTATTCATTTCAATCAAAATTAAAATGGCTGAATAAGTTATGAGAAGTTGAGACATTTACTATTCCTCTTTCATTTTATTATATTTTCCTACCTAGGACTTAATGTTAAAATTGAGGACCATATAAATGTTTACCACACATTTGCTAGAAACCACTATAACCCATCACTTGGCGTGCACTAGAATTTACTCTTGTAGATACCAGAGAAATCTCCTAAATGACTGGTATTTTAGTTTTATTCAACCTGTTTCTCAAACTCACTTTAAAGCACCTGGCTTTTTCTTACATTGATAATTTCTAGGGCAGTCAAAACACAATTAAGGCTTAAGCATAATTACAGGTCTCTGCCAATCTTTGAAAGTGAGATCTCTTTCTGGGTAAATCAATTTTCTAAGTTTCTAAACTCTCTATACTTGTATCTGACTGAAAATATATGTACAAGCATGCAAAATACCATACAGTTCAGCCTACCCTATAATGTTTGTCAATTATCCTGTTGATTTGGCAGGTTTGCAGATAATTGCATTCACACTCTTCTATACCAAAAGAAAATGAAAAAGAAAAACATAGTGTGGAGAGCTGTCTATCTATCTAATTGGATGTAGATAGATAATATGCATTATACTGACTGTCTCTCTAAAATAAAATGGTTCACACTGGGTGCAGTGGCTCACATCTATAATTCCAGCACTTTGGGAGGCTGAGGTGGGAGGATTGCTTTAGGTCAGGGGTTTGAGACCAGCCTGAGCAACACAGTGAGACCTCATCTCTACAAAAAAGTATAAAAATTATCCAGCTATGATGGTGCATGTCTGTAGTCTCAGCTACTTGAGAGTGAGGTGGGAGGATGTTTGAGCTCAGGAGGTAGAGGTTGCAGTGAGCCATGATCGTGTCACTGTACTCCAGCCTGGCCAAGAGTGAGGCACTGAGAAAGAAAGAAAGAAAAGAAAGAAAGAAAGAAAGAAAGAAAGAAAGAAAGAAAGAAAGAAAGAAAGAAAGAAAGAAAGAAAGAAAGAAAGAAAGAAAGAAAGAAAGAGTGAGAGAAAGAAAGAGTGAGAGAGAGGGAAGGGTGGGGGGAGAGAAAAGGGAAGTCCAAAACTATTGCAGTTTATTTTATACTGGAATAGCACTAGACTATTTTACTAGTGGTATTTTCTCATCAAAATTATATTTGTGAAAAATATAAAATGAGTAATTTCTATATTCTCTGGCTTCAAAAGAACTTAAAGCAGGAAACAGAGCCTCTTGTTGTGGGAATGTGGAAATTAGAGTTATTAGGTCTAAAGATCCTAAACATTTCCAGTACTCACAGCAAAGCAGACTAATGTCAAGAACTTGGTTTCATGAATGCCAGTTTTCTTTTGATTATGAAAACATTACTGAATATTTCCGAAATGAATATTTAGAGGAGTATGGCAATCAGTGATTTCTAGTTCGTCATTTGTTTTTGTTTGGTTTATTTTCTGTGAATTTAAGATCTGATGATATAAAGTAATATTTAGCATTGTTGATATTTAAATGGCTTTTGAGGAAAGAAGGTATGGGAGAATGGCACATTTGCTAAGTTATTTTTACGTTACCTAGAGATGATTCTGAGGTTTTTACAAATGGCTTATAAATATTCCAAATCTTTTATGACAAAGATATTGCTCAGTTTTACAAATCAACTTACAACAAAATAGAAATAAAACAACACAAAACATTGTGGTAAAAGGAAATAAAATCATGTTTACCCTTCAATACACTAAAACTAAATGCATACTGAATTTTATATAAAATAACTAAGTGAATCTGCTTAGTAACAAAGATTAGAAAAAATTACTGGCAAGTCTTGACCAGCGGCTATGAAGTTGCTAAGTCATATCATATTCATTGTCATCTGTAGGTTCCAAACAACAAAAAAAGTTGTACAAAATGCCAACATATGGCCTCTTCAGGGCAGTTGCTAAAGACAAGAGCTAAACAGCAACAAAAGAGTCTCAGACTTCACTGTGGTCACTGAGTTTGTTCAAATTCTGAAAAAGAAGAGGAAGATATAAGTATGTGCTAGTCACTCAAATCTTAAATCAGTACTGTAGCAAAAGAACAGCAGTAAGTGAAACAAGCTGCCCAGCCTAGTTAAGAAAATGGGTATTCTATGAGGTATTAGAGGACAGCAGTTTAAAGATCCAGATCCAAGGTCACTGCTGACTTTGAAACCAAATCTACCATCTACAGATAATGTAACAAACCTGGGTGAGTTTCCTCATTTCTAAAAATTGGTTGAATAGTAGTATCTACCTCGTAAGGCTGGGAAAAATTTAATTAATCTATATAAATTAAACCCTTCATGTTCCTGGAACATAGTAAGCATTCAGTACATGTTAGGTATATAATAATAATAACAATAGTGTTATTATTATTTTGACAATACATACTGTTCTGATTGAATATAACAGGGATGACTCTGGAAGGCACCAAATGTTGTTCTAGGTATGAGGAAAGGCAAACAATCCAAAAGTCAAAGAAAAATTGCAAGAAATCAAAGTTCTAGGAATCACTATAAAACTAAACCATAAAGCCCAATATTTATAAGATAACTTTGACACTTCAGATCATGTGAGCACTAGACTCTGCAAATAATGTTTTCAAAGACAGCAATATATGCTTAGAGACAAGGGTATCAGAACAGAAAAACAAACTAAAAGGTTATATTTAGGGTTTTTGCATTTGAAAGAGGTGATTTCAAACACCCAAGACAGTAGCTTTTAGAAGAAGCATTTATTTTACATGAAGCAGTTCACAAGTGATAGGCAATCACCAAATTCTCTGAGCAGTAACATTGTTGGAAGATCCAAAGTATTAAACAAAAGTTCATAACTGGCCTAGAAAAGAAATGAAAATATTCTTCTACTTACAGCAAAGAAGTCTGAGTTTGGGGGAGTTGTGTGAGTATAATAGATTTTAGAAACCAGTGGGGGGTAATAAGCAGATATTTTAAAAAATGCAAAACCCTTAATTTTACATTCTTATAACTCCTGCATGCCAACTTGATCAGCTTACCTTATTTAAACAGATGTTACTTATTGCAGCAGATACCGATTCAAAAAAAATTGGTTTCTCTGAATCTAGGTTTCCATAATACTTCATTGCTTTTATCAAAGAAGCTACAAGAAAGCATTAGGATATTAGGATACATGAAGCAGAAGAAAGATCACAATCAATGTTAGCCAAGGACACTCTCCTACCTGTGCAATCGGCTAACAACACATCCACACTCCTGCCCTTACAGTCCATGTAAATCTAGGAGAAATGAAATAGTATACCTATGATGAATTCAGGACAACTGGCAAGAAGGCATAAGACAGGCTTCAGAAGAAATGAAACTTTTTAGTTAAAAAAAAAAAAGGTTTATGAAGTCAAACCACCAGAGGGAGACATTGTTACACAGTTAGGCATAAAACATGGCAATCCTCTCAAAGATGAAGATTAATACAGCAGGGCATCTATCTACCTTTACTACAACTCAATCTGGCAGTTTACATTTTCCACTTCGTTTAATAAAAATAAAAACGCCCCCTTTCCTCCTCTATAATAATGATAAAAAATTGCTGTCAACCTCTTTTTTGGAAGTCAAGGACTCATTTATGGAAGTGATGAAAGCTGCTGATGTACTGCTTGCTTTAATATTTTACAATAATTTGAGCATATTCACAGGATATGCATGGATAGTAAGTTGAGAGCTTCACTATATTCCAAGCCAAGTTCGATTGCCCAAATTCCATTTTTAAAGGTCCATGAAGATGAGGGATCCTAACTAATTTGATTGGCATACTTTAGAATAGTATCTTTTTTTAAGTCCTAGAAAACAAGTAGAAACAGTTTATTAAAGGTTCTCGTCTTTAATCCATCCAGACTAGTCAGTCCATGAAATTCAGTGAAAGTAAATCTAGACATTCTAGTTACAGTAGAATGGATTTTGTTATATAAGAGTGATGCAACTTATATATAGAGGGCAGAAAGCTGTGTTTACAGTACATTTTAAGAGTGTGCGTGATATTCAAAATTTCCTCCATATTGTTCTAGCAATAAGTTCATGCTATGTAAGAATTACAAAATAATAGGAGATATATCATTCTGAGCAGAAATGAAAAAACAAATGAACGCATAATACATGGAATGTGTCTTTGCCATTGAATAAATGGTTCTTGCTTTTGTAAGTTGAAATGATTAATTCAAGGTGACCTCTCAGTGTTTGACTTTTTCTTAAGCTCAATGAAGCACAAACACATTGTTACGGGTGGTTTGTTGATGCTGATAAACATAATCTTCAGTTCGCTGACCTCTCCAGTGTCCCAAGTAAAAGAATAATGAAGTCACTCCACTTCCTTCAACCTACCACTCCCAGGAGAATGTTCCTTATGCTAATACGGCAAAGAAAACAACACAGGAAGTATTATTAGAAAGCATGAAGACATGCATGGCCAAGGAGTCCCTGAGACTCTTTATGCCCTCTCCCAGGGTGGCTGTAACTAATAAATAATATTAGTCTCAATGATATTATTTGCACTTTGAGAAATGACTTTTCTAAGATGAGAAGAAATAAGAAAAGTTAGCATTATTGAGTACTTACTGCTAGACACTTTGTTAGGTGCATTCTTTAGATGTAATACATCACTTCTAAGGCTCACAACAATGTAATGAAGTAGGTATTTCAACTTCGTTTACAGAAAACCAAATAAATACTAGAGCTCAGATCATAGAATGAGGATATGGCTGATATTTGGATACAGGGTTTTGTCTGTCTTTACAACCCATGTTCTTAACAAACATCATAATGTTATTGTAGCCATGATGAAATAAACCAAATAGTAATGTGGAACTTTAAAAGGGTAGTCTGATACAGAGCTGCTGGTTTTGTATATGTAGATGAAAACAACCTGGCTAAGGAGAAATGTCATTATCTGCCCATTTAAAAATAATTTCCCCCAAAATAATTTTTTTTATTTAAATGGATGTATAGAATGTAAAATTCTATGCACACCATTGTATAGAGTTTTTGTTTGTTTGTTTTTTGGTTTTTTTTTAGTTGGAGTCTCACTCTGTCGCCCAGACTGGAGTGCAGTGGCTGCTCCTGGCCACTGCAGCCTCGACCTGCTGGGCTCCAGCAATCCTTCTGCCTCAGTCTTCCAAGTAGCCGGAACTACAGGCGTGCGCTACCACGCCCAGCTGATTTTTTGATTTATTGTAGAGATGAGGTCTCGCTGCCCAGGCGGGTCTCGAACTCGCAGGCTCAGGCAATCCACTCACCTCAGCCTCCCAAAGGCGCGGGTTTACAGGCTGAGCCACCGAGCCCGGCTTGTATAGAGTTTTAAAGCTACTAAGATGAATGAGAAGAAAAAAAGTCCTTTCTCAACATGCCCAGTATCCAGATTGTTGGAATCCTCTGAATTGTTAACCTTAGATCCTAAGCTCAGTGGGAGTAAGTAACCACTTTCTCTTGTTTACCAATCTTAAGTCCTGTTTTGTAATAACGAGAAAGGGCAGCTAATAATTTTAGAAATCAGTTTAAAATGCAATTGAACAAAAAATAAATAAATATACTGGCCTTTCCCAGTAAAAGGACAATTCTAGTCTAGTGGTTTTCAAAATCTGATCCTTGGATCACCTGTCAGAATCATCTACAGGTCGCCCTTTCAGGTCCCCTGCTGCAAAAGACTTTCTGTCTTAATAAAATCCTGCTTTCTCAAAAATAATAATAATAAAATCACCTATGGGTGTTTAAAATAAAAATCCTGTACAAGATCCAGGACCCAGAAGACTGCCTTTTTAATGAGTACACCAGATGACTCTCAAGCACACAAGTTTAAGAGACTCTTGTAGACCTTAGTAACAGAGAATAAATAAAAATGCCAAACACAAAAGCCCACCTATGAAGAGGAAATATGTGTTTCCAGTTTAGGTTAAGTTGGAAGAAAATATAAAATATTCAGGTTGTTGAATTCTATACACAAATGTACAAAGTTCGTTTTTGTTTGTTTGTTTGTTTTTTAAGTCAGGGTCTCACTCTGTCACCCAGGCTAGAGTGCATGTGGGTGGCATGATCATGGCTCGCTAAGCTTCAACCTCTAGGATTCAGGCGAGCCTTCTGCCTAAGCATTCTGAATAGCTGGGACTACAGGTGCACTTCACCAAATCTGCCTAATTAAAAAACAAATTTTTTTTGTAGAGATGAGATATTTCTATGTTGCTCAGATTGGTCTCAAAATCCTGGGCTCAAGCAATCCTCCCTCCACAGCTTCCCAAGTTCTGTGATTATAGGCATGAACCACTGCACTGGCCAGAGTTTTTATAGTAAACAACAAGAAAATAAAAACATATTACATGGGGAAAAGAGTGACTTGCCAAAAATAGCCACTATATTTAGGTCTATGAGATTTAAATTTTCTTTGTTTTAAATAATTTGTTTTCTAGAAATCTGCTAATTCTGAAACAAAATCACTCTCTCATTTTCCCAAAAAGAATGAAATCCTCAGTTGTCTGAGAGCCAGACAAGTTAAGATGACATTGCAATATCCTAGCTAGTGGGATAGAGTTGACTATACTCAGACTTACACATTTCAAGTCATTTCCCTCCACGCATTCCCACCCTTATCTTCATGGGAAACAATACTAAAGCTAAACTTTTTACTGTCTTGAGTTTGAAAGGTTGGACATTTCAAAGTAAATTTAAAATATAAATGAATAGAGACACAAGGTATGCAACACCCCAAGAAAATAATCAAAACCCACAGTGTGAGACATTTTCAAGGCTACTGATCTGAATCCTTTAAGTCAGTGTCCAATTCCCACTTCTGGCCATGATGAATAACTAATCTAAGACTATCCCAACCTCCATAATGAAGTACAAAAATGGACAAAAAAATATACAACAACTGTGTTTAGACAACAGGCATCAGACAGGGCAGCAGTTCCCTGAGAGGAGAACAAATGGGGTGTGCCCTTGGATCATCTCACTTTAATGCCACAAATCAGTTTCTGGGCCACACTGTGATGAGGGGAACCCAAGCAAGATACAGCAGCTTCACGGAATTGAACAGATAAAATTGGAGTTCAGGGAGGACTAGATGGGTGAGATGTGTGGAAAAGGACCCTAGAAAGGTAGGAGATATATAGAGAAAGAACACTCGACATTGTCATAAGTTTTTGAGTAAGTCTTTGGCTGAACACCAAATCGCATATAGGGAAGGTTCTAGAAGGCCAGGGTAAGAAAACTCCTGAGGAGCAAACACTGGATGATGAGGCATGCTGAGGCATAGGCACTGAAGATGACGAGGTGCTGAGGACTTTGAGATACAGATGTTATCCCACCCTCAAAACCCCATCACCACCACTACCACCACCACCACCAATTTAAGGTATTGAGGGACATAACAGAAGGAAATAAAAAAGAGGTAAATTCCTTGTTGACTTAATATTTGCCAAACTTAAGAAAATAAGAAGGAAAAAAATACCAGAAGAGTCTAAGTTTTCCTTGAATTGATAAGATGTTCTTAATTCTGTGGAAATAGGAGCTATGTCAATTATAAAGAAATAAGCAGTCTTATTTTTTAATACATCTTGATCATAGAGACCCTGTTGTAACCATGGGATACAAAACGAGGTACTATCACCTGAGAAAACAGAGTAGAGCTCCTGCATTGGGTACTGCTTGAGAAACCAGGAATGCTCTTGGGCCAAACCATACCCAGCCATAATGTGAGAAAACCTCCTGCCATCACCAAGGCACTTGCTCTTGCAGCCTGTGCACTGGAGGATGGGAGTCTTTCTCTTTTCGAGAAGCCTGGTAAGTTGACTGTCTAATGGACACTATGTTCACTGCATCTCAAGTCTCTGTTCTGTTCTCTCTGGCTGCTCTATGTGAATACCCCTGTTCCTGATGCCTACAAATACATACACATGCCTAGATGCTTGCTGGGATCTTCTGACAATAAATCTACAGTGGTGGTAGGCATAACGTCCTAAGTCCTATGTGAAGAATGGAGCAAGATAAGTATTGCAACAAGCAGGCTCAAGACCAGTGCTGAGAGGTTATCTCATGACAACCCATTAGTGAAGCAAAGGGAAGGAATCAGTCCACACCCAAGCTGCGTAAATACCTCAGCAAGCATGGCGACACCAGAATAGTCAAAAAAGGTCAATCCACTGCAATCCAGGATTAAAGAACACTTCTCACTAGGACAGGCCTGTGAAGCTTCGTCTGTAGGAGAAACAGAGACTTGAGTTAGGGAGAATTTTTAGAGATTTCTGCTGCTGACTTTGGATGGTGGGAAGATAACAGTGGTCTCATGCCTAGCAACACTAATGCAGAACACTTTTAATTGTTACAGTTTTCAGTAAATTGTTAATTATTTCTGAACTCTTTGATTTTTTATTGTTGGAATGCCATTTCAGGTAATTATCACATAACTCTAAGAGGAAGACAAATAGGTTCCTTACCAGTATAATTTCACAGATAGACAAACCGAGGCTCAGCAGTTTTAAATGCTTTTGAAAGCATATCTGACAGATTTACACTAAACATAGACTAGAATCAAAGCCTCTAGACATTCTGTATAGTGTGCTTTCCACAATGTCACACTGTTTTCTTAATGAGCATGCCCAGAGGTAGAGCCCTTTTTGTGGTGCCTGAAGGATATACAATTTTGGAGTCACACTTAAAGGAAAATAAATTCATTGCTGGGACTTGTCCCACAGCCCTGGAAGGGATGGATCTATGTGAAGGATCCTAAAAATTGGGCTTCATTTGGTTCATAGTGAATCTGCCTCTGAATATACTGATTAAAAAAAATAAAAAAGATTTTACTTAGGAGTTCATGACTGCTTTTCGATTAACATTCTTAGGTCCACAGTTTCCTCCTGTGATATGACATTCTAATCAGTGACAGGTCACATTTGGGTTCCCTCTAAGGAGTGGCGTGGCTCTTAGAGCAGATCATGTAGGCTAAGATCCCCCCATCATAGTAGGCAAATAAAATTCAATTCATTAATTATAATATATACTTACATTTGAAATTCACTAAAAAATTTCTTAATTGGAACAGTTTGGGCATTTAAAATGCTCAGGGTTTTCCCATAGAGTAGCTACAGAAAAGTAGGAAATGATTGTTTCTGAATTTGAAGGACGGTATGACAGAAACAGTGAACTAAAAAAAAAACTGTTGCTTAGAAACTGAAAAAAGATGAATAGGAAATATAGAATAGATACTCGAAATTTATATGCGGTAGCTATAACTGTTAGGAAAAGTAGAAATACCATAATGTAATTTCTAATGTATTTGAAAAGTGATATTAAGGTATAAAATTTGTTTTCAAGTTTCACCTTTTGATCTATATTCATATTTATTAATAGAATAATAAATATGTTATTAATTGAATATTAAATGTGCTCTATACTCTCTTTGGCGTAATCAGAGGCTTAACGCAAAAAAGTAGCCTTGAAGGATGTATAATTCCAAAAAAGTAGAAATTATATAGAGATGTAAGCATTCCAACATATGTACAGCTTTGATTAAATACTATTGAAAGCTTAAGATCTCAAATTCCTTCTGGTCCCATTCAGTCAACATTTACTGAGGGCCAACTATGTATCAGGCACACTGGTAGTGCCTTCTGTTTCCCTTTTTCTCCCAGGGGAAAGAGGACTAAGCAGTTAGTATAGATTCAGGTTATGCTTTCATTGGCCGACAATGGTTTATTAGAACCTGAAACAAAACTGAAAGTAACCTTAACTTATCTTATTCACTGACCACTCAGTAGGAATCATCATTTACTATTTACCTAATTAAACACAGGTTTGCCTTTACTGATACAGAGGCTCTTATTTATATTCTCAGGTAAAACGTGCCCCTGCTCATTATCAGAGATAGGAAAGAATTAGGGTCATGTGAAAGAAAAATACTTATTCTAAACAAAGAAGTTATTCTAATCAACAGTGGGAATGTTTATTGGAATATAAATACATTTTTAAACAATTTAGAAACTTTTTTTTTTTTTTGAGTTGGAGTCTCACTCTGTTGCCCAGACTGGAGTGCAGTGGCCGCTCCCGCCACCGCAGCCTCGACCTGCTGGACTCTGGCAATCCTTCCGCCTCAGCCTTCTGAGTACATGCACATGTAAATCGCTCTCTAACAATTAGATACTAAATAAACTTTCCTTAAAAAAATCCAAAATTCATATAATATACATAGATTTTAAAATATATAATGGAGTCAGATATTTTCTTACAAAGTAAGAAACAAAAAAAACCCGGTAAGACTAATCAAGTTTACAATGCACTTTGGAGTTTGATATTTTCAGGTGGCCTATGCAGATTTTTAAAAACATATTCATTTAAAAAAATAAAAAGTATAAGATTTCTTTAAAGGGAGTAATGGGTTGGAGTCAGATCACACCAGCTCCTAAAAGTCAATTGTGTATATATCTTCCCAACTCCATGCTCAATGACAGCAAGTTGGTAGCCATAGTAGAAATCAGTCATAGTAGAAATATTTACACTATGGAAACTGGCAAATGCTACAAAGTGGCGCTTCTCTACAACCCCACCCCATTTCCCCAGCTCCAACCATTGTTTGTTAGACTTACCAGCATATCACTGCTTAAAGGTGGATATACTTATCAGACAAAGAAAATAATCAGTGATTTTAAAAAACTCAATAGTTTTGATTAAATGACTTAAACGACTGACATATTTGGCAGTGGAACTTAAAATGTCAATAATGACACAATCTGATATTAAAATTCATATTTTGTAATCCACCTATTTTTCCTCCCAAATGATATTTCTCTTATAAAATAGCACATATTTTAAAATAATCTACAATCAAAATATCTGTCCAAAAATTTCTGCAGAAAAAGGTAGCATTAACATTTTACTTATGGCTGGGCATGATGACTCATGCCTGGAAACCCAGCATTTTGAGAGGCCAAGGTGAAAAGATTGTTTCCACCTAGTGAGGCCTCTACCAAAAAAAAAAATAATGTTTTTAATTAGCTGGGCATGGTGGCTCACATCAGTAGTCCCAGCTACTTGGAAGGCTAAACTGGAGGGATTGCCTGAGCCTAGGAGGTTGAGGCGTCAGTGAACTATGATTGTGCCTCTGCACTCCAAGCTGGGCAACAGTGAGACACTGACTCAAAAATAATAATAATAATAATAATTAACCTAAAAAAAATTCATGAGTCATGCTTTTTTCTAAGATATTTAAGTCTTATTCTGCAAAATATGATAGTAATATCTGTCAATGATGATATTTTTCCACTGAAATCAAATAAGACCCTAGAATTTTTATCAACTCAGTGGTTCCGGAAGCACTACTAATTAATCAGAAATTTACTTGTCATTCTGAACTTAAAAATATTACAGTAAAAAGCAATCTGTGTATATGTTACCTAGAGAGAATGATAAATGTATTTAAATGATTAGAAAATGATAATTAAAAGGCATTGAAAAATCTCTATTAATTTTTTCCCTTTTCTAACCTACTATATTTTACCTCTAAATTGTACTTGCCATTCTCTCTTTTTTTTTTTTTTTGAGTTGGAGTCTCATTCTGTCGCCCAGACTGGAGTGCAGTGGCCGCTCCCGGCCACCGCAGCCTCAACCTGCTGGGCTCCGGCGATCCTTCCACCTCGGCCTTCCGAGTAGCCGGAATAACAGGCGCGCGCTTACCACGCCCGGCTGATTTTTTTATTTTATTGTAGAGATGAGGTCTCGCTTGCCCAGGTGGGTCTTGAACCCGCGGGCTCAGGCAATCCACTCACCTCAGCCTCCCAAAGGCGCGGGATTACAGGCTGAGCCACCAAGCCCGGCTGCCATTCTCTTTATTAAACTTATACTTATTTCATAATGTAAGTGGTGGTGGATTATTAACCATGAATGTGTTTGGGTTTTACAAATAATGATACAAAAATTTCCCTTTTATTGCCTTGGAGTGTGTTCATATCATTATTTGTTTTATCTTTTATTTTTGCATCTGAGTTTCTCCTTTGCTATTCCTTTAATCAAAATATGTATATATTTTCAGACCATCCAAAACAAAACAAAATAAAGCAATACAAAAGACTCATGCTATGTAGTTGTGTATAATAATTTAAGTAAGCAATTTTAAGAGAAGCAATTCAAGATGTCTCTTCTAAATTAAAAAAAAAGACATCCTTAATGGTAAAGTTACCAATTCGCTCAAATGAAAATTTAAATACAAGGGACATTTCTGACATCTTTCCAAAAATAAGTGAAGTTTTCTTTTCCACAGTATCCTCTCAGCTCTGCCATTGTACTAATTTTATGGCTATAACCTTGTGTTCTAAGCTTCTAAGTAAATCAACCAGAGCAATAAAAATCACATCATCCTAGGAAAGAGTAAAGTGAACGCACAGCTAATATCCTGCCTTGAGCAAAATGAGGTAAGCTTGGAGCATGTGCAAAGGAGACAACTCATCTACACCCATGTGGGATGGTAAATGATGGGCTTTATCTACAAAAAAACAACGTTTCAGAAAGAAATTAACCATCAGGTGTGGGTGGGCAATTAACTCCAGACTGTGGAAGCTAGCTCTTTCCCATGGAATATTCATTAACTCCTTTAATTAAAAAGTATTCATAGTTGCATAATTTAAGAGTGCTTTTCATATACTTCAAAAGATTCTCGACAGTCTGTGAGTCACTCATAATTTTTTAAAATAAAGTATTTTCTGTTGATATCAATTAACTTTTGAGAAGCAGATTAAATCCCAAACTCCTCAAAAAAATCAGGAGGTAAGAAATGTCTAGGACAAACCACAACACTATCTTTGGAAGACATGTGTACATATTGGGCAATTCATTCATTCATTCATTCAAGCAAGTAAGGAAGATATACCAAGTGCCTACTCTGACACTGTCTTAGGAAATTTAAGTACAATAGTGAACAGTCCCTGCCCTCAATAGATTCATAATCAGGTAGAGAAACTAGTCAGTTGAATTAATAATTTGGTGTGTTGTCAGGGCTGGAGAAGATGGCAGAAACTGCTAAGGAGTCTCAGGAGACATGGTGTGGTAGATTGAATAACAGTCCCTCAAAAATGTACACATGGGTCAGGCTTGGTGGTTCAGCCTGTAATCCCAGCATTTTAGGAGGCCAAGGTGAGTGGTTGCCTAAGCCCATGGGTTCAAAACCAGCCCAGGCAACTTGATAAGACCTTGTTCTCTACAATAAATCA